TAATTAGAATTAGGACAAATGCTCTATATTGTTATTCCATAAATTCACAATCTGTGAAACTTGGGATTTTGTCTAGCTCTGAGCTATATTGTCATACTGCAAAGGTCCAGATTAACAGCATGAAAACAGACTCAGTTAAATAGCAAAGTCTACAGTGTGAACCGAGTTTCTTTGCAATTGAATCATTCAGTTTTGTGGACTCCTAATCCTTGCATTCGTACAGTATTCTTCTTTCTTCGAGTAGAACCTTGATGTTTACATTTAAGCATATTCTAAATCTTGCACCCCAAAATGATGTGAATTAAAACAATCAATAGTACAGGTGGAGTTCACATCCAAACAGCAAAAATAGTATACTAAATGAATTGGTATGACTACAATTTCAAAGCCAATGGCAAACTACATAAGTATCCAAGACTCCATTGGCATGCTTGGACGAGTTCATTGAGGGTATAAACTAATGAAGTCTTACATCAGATGGAAAACCTAACGTATCCGTTAAGCTGCAGTCAGGGTTGAAGAAGTCGAGGGTTGGTGCAGTCTGCTGAAATTGTTGTAGAAGAACATCAAATTCGCCCTCTTCTCCCACTGGCATGCTAGTGTCTGAAAAACATGAATTTGGTGGGCTATAATCAGTTGGAGAAAATTCGAATTCATAATCCAGTCCAGTGCTAGAAGTATCAAATTGATTCAATGTCAATTCCACTCCAGTACCAAAAGAATCATTTTCAGTGGCAGGCAGTTCAAATCCGGTAATACAATGATCAAACAACAATGAAGTTTGTCCGGCCTGCTCAAATCCATGTATCTCATCAAGCTGGCAATCACAGCAGCAAGGTGTTTCCATGGTTGAATTAAAGGATGTCTCTTGAAATATGGGCGACTGCATCCAAGAAGAATCATCACTGTTATCAATATAGTTCTGTTGAAATTGCTCGCCTCCTGTAATGAGTGTACTTTCAGTTTCGAACCAGGATGGAGCAGTAGCACAATCAATATAGTTACATGGCTGCTCCATGTGCAGCTGCTGTTGAAGCTGGGAGAAGGCCTGTTGTGATGACTGAAAGCTGGTTTGAGGAGTTTGCTTTTCTTGTGACAGCATTTGAGCAAACTGTGATAGTGCTTGATTAAGAGGTTGAAACGGCTGACCAGGTATTTGCAGTAGATTTTCCATCACAGGTACTTGTCGTGGGGCTGATGGTGCATTATGCTGCATCTGTGGTTGAGGAACTGTTAACTGCCCGCTAAAACCAGGAAGCTCTTGTATTTGTGGAGCCTGACTGTAAGGAGTATGACCAGCATAATACAGCATATGCGAACTTTGTGTTGTGGAGAAAGATGCTGCATTCGAAGGTTGTGGTTGCAAGGAAGATGGAAAGTATTCTCCTGATTGAAAACCCTGGGTTTAAATTCAACAAGGAAATATGTTTCAGATTTAAAGATAGGATATATAAAAATCAATCCCCCATCCAGCTAAAAAAGATAATTATTCTACATACCAGTTGTGACATAGGTTCAGAAGAAACCACAGGTCCCAAATGCACATCATCAACATTGCCAGGAAAGCCACCAATATAGCCCTGAAAGTTTATGTGCACAGCAAAATAAGATTTAAGAAACTTCTGAATATTGTGAAAAATAAGCAGTGGAATGTGTATATAACATCATTTGTAGTCTATGCTCTTACCGGAGTAGAAGACACAATATCCACAGGCAACTGATTTCCAAACCCAAGCATGTCAACATTAGAATGGAAGCCCATATCTTGTGAATATTTTGGAGGCCATGCATTAGGAGGAATGCCGCCACACAATGGGTTGCCAAGTTGATAGCAGAAAGAATAATCAGGTTTATCAGCTTCTTCAAAAGTATCATATTTACCAAAGGAACACCCTGCAAAAGTCAAAAAGGGTGTCAGGATTTTATCAAGCTACAATACCTTCACCTGAGAATAACACATAGATGCAGTTATGCTAAAGATCATGTGTTCATAGATGCATATTATCAATGGATATAAACACAAACTACATATTCGATCTTCACAAGGCTTCATCTATCTTTCATTTAATAGGATCATTGTACACCAAAAACAGGTAACAAAACAGGACAGTAGGAATTTCATTGCATAAATGAATTATTCACCAGCAAGAAAATGAGGCCGGCCACCAAAATAACACATTGACTAGTCATTAGCTATTCTTCGTATTCAACGACCATTGCCTGGGAATTTCTCACGACCCAGCAAGACCTTGTAGATAGTATGAAATTTCGCAGAGCATCCTCAAATCATAGTGGAATCTAATATTCATATCCTTATCCCTTGAGCAAGTTCGCTGATTATTAAATTAAATAAACCAAACCTAGAGATCAATAGAGTTCGTTGTCTTGATTAAGAAAAAGGAGATCTATTCACTCCAGAAAACACAAAGTACATAATAATTTCACAAACCATCTAAAGTAAAAATCAATTCAAGCAACAAGACACATCTAGCCATGAATGAATATAGAAGAAGTATATGAATTCCAGAAAGAACACAGTAAAACATGACTAAAAAGGGATGGTCTGATCACCGTAAAAAAATAATCATTACATTACCTGAATCGATTTCTTGATCTTTGGACTTGACAAATTGAATCTGTTTGTTGACTTGATCTATTTTGGCCTCAAGCTTTTTCAGAAATTCTTCCGGATTCAAAGCCCTATTCTTAGCCCCTTTATCACCTCCCAAAGCCTGCTTCTTGTTACAACCCCGATCAGAATATTGCTGCTTCCGCGACCCATTTCGGTACAAGTTGATCACCTCACGCACATCGCTACGATTCTCAGGCCACGTTTCAACCTGCCCGTCGGGGCCTATTATCACAGTGCAAGCTTTGACATCACACAAAACTGATAATTCCATCGTCTTCTTCTTTATACATTCTTTTCTCGTCAAGAATGCCTTTTTCTTGGCCCTCAACACATCAGTCTTGACAGTTTTTCTTTCAGTCCTTGAATGATCGCCATCATCCGCCATGGTTGTGATCTTTCTTGGATGTAAAGTATATACTACGAGAAGAGAAAATTGAAATAGAGAGCGATCAGACGGCAGTAATGTAATTGAAAGAGAAATCGAGAGACGTTGGGTTCAAATTGAAGGAGGGAATTAGAAGAAGGTGTTGTGCGTTCTGCGTTCTGGGGCCTCTATATAAGAAAAAAAAAAAAGAACCGTTGGGAAGGAGGGAAATTGAGAGGCGAGCAATGTAATTGAAAGAGGGAAATCGAGAGACGTTGGGTTCAAAATTAAAGCGGGAATTACAAGTAGCTGTTGCTGGTTTCTGTATAAGAAAATAATTCAAAACAAAAAAAAAGGAACCGTTGGGGAGAGATAAATTGACAGGCGAGCAATGTAATTGAAACACAGAGCATGGGTTCAAGTTTGACGCGGTACTAATAGTGTAGTGTAGGTAAATTCTTGTGTTCTAATTCTTGGGTTATTGACTCGAATTAAGAAATAAAATTTTGGGAGTAAAATTGCAATTTCCTTAAATGTGCATTTGTTTGACCCATTCTTAAAAGTGGAAATTAGGCCTACTAGAATTTTAAACTTTCAATTTCAAAGATGAAATTAACAAGTTTTTATTTCAAAANAATATACATATTCATTCTACCCAATTATACACACCAAAACCCTAATTATTTCATCCTTTCCATTTTTTCTCTCTATTCTACCGTACCGTCACCCATTCTCTCTCTCTCTAGTCTACCTGCGTGTGGTATCCATCTCATTCTCTCCTTTCTCTCTCTATTTGTTACCCGACACTTCCGGTTGCTACAAAGTCACGACGACGTCGCGATCAGGGATCTGCAACTCCACAATTTGATGTGGTTTTTGGGTGTGTTTT